CATTGCATGGTTGATCCGGTGGAACATTATCATCATCCAAATCCAAATCATTTATGTAAAATTCGATGGTCTTTTCCGGTTTGCTTTTTATCAACCATTGACAAAATATTGCACCTGTTCGAGCTTCCGGATATGTGCTGGAAATATTAAATCCAATTTTTTTTCTTTCATTTTCTTCTTTTTTAATCTAAATCTTTCATTGAGTGTATAAAATGAAATTAGTCATAATGATTTAATTAATTTAATTATTTTCTTCATCTTTCAGTACAAATTTATCAATCAAATCAAAATTTTATGATAATGAATGAAATCATTTAAAATGTTAGACAATGATTTTTTTCGTTTTTTCTTTTTTCCTGCTTTTTTTTCTTTTGATAGATTAAACTTTGATATTCATTGTAAAATTAAGTTTTAATTGTGCAAATTTTTTCATTGAAATATTTGTAAAAAAAAAGTTAGGAAAAAAAGATTTTGTTTTTTTTTGTTACTTTAATTTATTGTTTATCTAATGCTACGCATTTTTGTATGTATGTGTTAATTTTCTTGAGATTACATAAAAATTATGTCAATAATTTTTTGATTTCGATGAAAAAAAAAAAAAACGAGAAATTTTCTATTGTATTATTGTTATTACTACCTTCTTAAATGTATGCAAAATTTTTTTCGTTTTTTGCTTTTTTAAATGAGAAAAAAAAAAAAAAGATTAACCTAAGTGAAATTATGCCTTCCTCTTCATTATGTATGCCACATGATTGATCGGTAAAAAGTTTTCGTCGAGAAAGTTGTTCACAATTTGTTCCCTCTAATCCATATGCGCATTGACAACTGCAATCGATATTTATCGTACCACCATTTTCACATTCAATATTGCATCGTTCTATAAATTACTAAGCAAATAAACAACAATAACAATAACAACAACAACAACAACAATAACAACGGCAACAATAACAGTAATAATATAACGAAAAAAGCTGAATGCATAAAAAAAAAACGAAGCGGAATGAATGCATGATAAAAAGCGAAAGAAGGAAAAGAATTGAAATTTAATTTATTTCCAATTTTTTTTTTCTCAATTCTGTTAGAATGTAAAAAGAAAGAAAATAAGCGAGAAAGAAATGGATGTTAAAATTGGAAAGAAAAATTCGCACATCACGAAATTAGCTGCATAAATTTATTGAAAACAGATTATGTATGTTACCTTCAATTATTCAATCACCCAAAGTTATCAATTACTCGAGCGATTACTTCCATTTAATTATTCAATTTATGAAATATAAGAGAAACTATAGAATAATTTTTCGGCTTGATTTTATTTAAAATACAGTAAATTTTTATTTTACTTTTTGTTGTTTTTTTTTTCAAAAAATTTTCCATTCATTAAAAATTTTATGGCTTAATTTAATTTCACACATAAACTATTTTGAATTTAAAAATAAAGCAATTCAGACGGTCAATTTTTTTAAATCGCAAAATAAATAAATAAATATAAATTTCATTGCTAGAGTAAATTATCTAAGTTATTTTAAATTATTCAATTCTATATGACCAAAAAAGTTCGGTTTGAGATTTTAGACTCGATATAATTTTAATTGGTGTCAATTCTTTTGAATTTAAAACATTCATATATTTTATTGCAAATTTTATAAAAAAAATCAAATTGAAAATTTTCGAAAAGTACTTGTAATATATTTAAGCGGAAACCACTTTTTCAAATTTTATCAACAATCGCGTCTAATTGCAATTGCATTTTTATTGAGAGTCCTAATTAGATTCAACGAAAAGCCTAAAATGATGAATAGCTAATGACCTTTTGGGCTTCATCTTCAGTCAAGTCTGTAAGATTTCTGATTAATCTATGCAGCTCATATCGTTAATAATGACCCATAACTCTTGATGATGTAATCATTCATTAATTTCCATCAACAATTATTACTTCGGTAAAGCTCATTTGACCCCATCATCTAACATTGAAAGGACAACAACAACAACAACAACAACAACAACAACAACAAC